ACGCCAAGTGCTCCTCGCTGGAGAAGACCAAGCACCGGCTGCAGACCGAGATCGAGGACCTGTCGGTGGAGCTGGAGCGCGCCAACTCGGCCTGCGCCGCCCTGGACAAGAAGCAGAGGAACTTCGACAGGATCCTGGCAGAGTGGAGGCAGAAGCACGAGGAGAGCCAGGTGGAGCTGGAGGCGTCGCAGAAGGAGGCGCGCAGCCTGAGCACGGAGCTCTTCAAGCTCAAGAACGCCTACGAGGAGTCCCTGGACAACCTGGAGACCCTTAAGAGGGAGAACAAGAACCTGCAGGGTAGGACTGGGCTCGGGCACTCCCCTGGCTCCTGCCCTGTCCTCAGACATGTGGGATTGGGTCCCTTGTTGGCCAGGAGAGGCTTTGCTGCTCAGCACATCCCCTGGGGGGTGCACAGCCCTGCTGGGATGCCAGCGTGTGTCTGCCCTCGTGCTGGGCACACTCTGGGAGGACTGGCACAGCCACTTGGCTCCTGTCCCCAGATGGCTCCTGTTCCCAAATGGTGCTGCCAAGTGCCGTGATGCTGCCTTGGGGGTGTTGCTGTTGGACAAACAGGTCTCCCAGAAATGTTCCCAAGCACAGCCTTGGCTGCTCTTTGAGGGTCAGAGGGACACCAGCTGAGCCTGGGCAGGGGGATGGGGATGTCACTTGCTCAGGGCTGGTCCCACAAACTCCTTCCTGACCAAACTCCTCCTGTCCCTGGCAGAGGAAATTGCTGATTTGACTGACCAGATCAGTCTGGGAGGCAAAACCATCCATGAGCTGGAGAAGGTGAAGAAAGTGCTGGAAAGTGAGAAGAGCGATATCCAGGCAGCTCTGGAGGAGGCTGAGGTGAGTTTTTGTTTCCCATATGTTCCTGCTGTCCCCAGGAGCCACTGGCCCACCCTGCAGCTCTGGTTGTGTGGGGTGACAGTCCTGAGCCAGGCTGTGACCCCTGGCAATCCCATTCATGGGGGTCCTGCAACCCCTGCAGGCCCTGGGGTGGCTCCACCTGCTCTGCCCCTCATGGCAATGGGCTGGGGGACAAAGCCAGGGTGGGATGGGTGGCCAGGGGGAGCCCCCTTCCCAGGAACCATCTTCCCATGGCTGAGCTGTCTCTAGGGAGCCCTGGAGCACGAGGAGAGCAAGACCCTGCGCATCCAGCTGGAGCTGAACCAGATCAAGGCTGACATGGACAGGAAGCTGGCAGAGAAGGACGAGGAGTTTGAGAACCTGAGGTGTGTGGGGTGAGGGGACAGGCTGGGACATCACTGCATGGGCAGAACTGGCAGGGCTGGGTGTCCCCAGGGGATGTTTCTGCAGGAGCAGAGCTGGCACTGTGGCCCTGGCAGGGCTGGGTGTCCCCAGAGGACGTGGCTGATGCATGGCCTGTCCTGCAGGCGCAACCACCAGCGCGCCATGGACTCCATGCAGGCCTCGCTGGATGCAGAGGCCCGGGCCAAGAACGAGGCTGTGAGGCTGAGGAAGAAGATGGAGGGGGACCTGAATGAGATGGAGATCCAGCTGAACCACGCCAACCGCCAGGCTGCCGAGTTCCAGCAGCTGGGCCGCCAGCTCCAGGCCCAGATCAAGGTTGGGACAGACTGAGTGCTGTCCCTGCTGCCAGCCTGGCTCCTGGCTGTCCCCAGTGACCCCGCGCTGCCCCACAGGACCTGCAGATGGAGCTGGATGACACCCAGCGCCACAATGATGACCTGAAGGAGCAGGTGGGGGCCCTGGAGCGCCGCAGCAACCTGCTGCTGGCAGAGGTGGAGGAGCTGCGGGTGGCGCTGGAGCAGGCCGAGAGGAACAGGAAACTGGCAGAGCAGGAGCTGCTGGAAACCACCGAGAGGGTCACCCTGCTCCACTCCCAGGTGAGGAGGCACTGCCTGCACTGGTGAGTCTGTCCAGCCATGGTGAGTGACCAGCCCTGGTCACACTGAGCCTGCTCTGTGTGTGCAGAACATGGGGCTGATCAACCAGAAGAAGAAGCTGGAGGCAGATGTCTCCCAGCTGAGCGGCGAGGTGGAGGATGCGGTGCAGGAGTGTCGCAACGCTGAGGAGAAGGCAAAGAAAGCCATCACAGATGTAAGAGAGTGGTGGGGACTGCTCTGTGGGTCTCACAACAACACTCAGCCCTGGCAGGGCTGCCTGGCCCTGAGGTGATGTCCCCCTGCTCTTGGCCTCGCAGGCTGCCATGATGGCAGAGGAGCTGAAGAAGGAGCAGGACACGAGCGCACACCTGGAGCGCATGAAGAAGAACATGGAGCAGACCATCAAGGACCTGCAGATGCGCCTGGACGAGGCAGAGCAGATTGCTCTCAAGGGGGGCAAGAAGCAGATCCAGAAGCTGGAGGCCAGGGTGAGACTGTGGGGGCAGATCCCTGGCTGTTCTTTAGGAGCCAGCTCCTGGGGCTGCCCCAGTCCCTGTGGCACCAGACTCTACCCCATCCCTCTGAGGACAGGTGGTGCCTCTGGGGGATCAAGGGACAGTCCCCTAGGCCCTTCCAGGCTGGGCCCTGCTCAGGATGGTTTTAGCTTCTACTGTGGCTTCTCTGAGCTGGGGAAGTGCCTTGGCTTTATCTGGACTGGTGCTGGTGCATGGGAGCCAAATGTTGAGCCAGTCTGTGCCCCCTGCAGGTGCGGGAGCTGGAGGGAGAGCTGGATGGGGAGCAGAAGAAGATGGCAGAGGCCCAGAAGGGCATTCGCAAGTACGAGCGCAGGATCAAGGAGCTGAGCTACCAGGTAACAGCAGTTCTGGACACAGGTCCAGCCCTGGTCCAACAGCAGCTGGCACAATCCTCTTTGCCTGGCCTCTGTTACCCCAGAACCCATCCACAAAGCTCAGCCCAGCTTGGGCTGCTTCTGGGCTCTGTGGGCAATCACAACTGCACAAACTTCTCCATGTCACAACTGGGTCCATCTGGCAATTCCCAGCACCTCCTGAGCTGAGTGATGGGACACAAGGGGGGACCAAGGGATGGTGCTGTGACACCAGGCTGGGTTGGTGGGGCAGGTTGGTGCTGTGTTTGTGACCTGGCAACACTGGGACTCTGATAAAGGTGGAGGTGAGGCACTGCTGGGGTCTGCCTAAGGGAGCTGGGGCACTTGCAGGCTGAGGAAGACCGGAAGAACCTGGCTCGGATGCAGGACCTGATAGACAAGCTGCAGAGCAAGGTCAAGAGCTACAAGCGCCAGTTTGAGGAGGCAGTAAGTGCCCGTCACTGCTGTGGGACGGGGGACAGGACTGTCCCTCTCTGGGACTGCCTCCATGGCAGCAATGTGGGGAGCTCATTGCTGTCCCCTGTGCCCCATGCACCCTCCCCTCCTGTCTCCCTGCCAGGAGCAGCAGGCCAACTCCAACCTGGTGAAGTACCGCAAGGTGCAGCACGAGCTGGACGAGGCCGAGGAACGCGCCGACATCGCCGAGAGCCAGGTCAACAAACTGCGCGCCCGCAGCAGGGACGTGGTCATCTCCAAGGTGGGCACCCCTGGAATGGGAGCGTGGGGAGCTGGGCACGGCTCCTGCCAGCCTGGAGCCAGGGCAGGGACCACAGGCACAGCCACACCCGGCCGTGGCACTGCTGCCTCACCGCCCACTGACTCCGGGGCTGGAGGGTGGCAGGGCGCTCTGTGCCTCCAGATCCCTCCTCTCACCAAAGCCCTTTGGGGATTTTTTCCAGCATTAGGAGCCTGGCTGTCCTGTCCTGTCCTGTTCCAGCTGCTGCTGTAGGCTGGAGGCAAGTGGCTGCAACAGTCACTGTCAGCTTTGCATTGCATGAATAAACGTAGATTACCAGGACTGGCTGTGCTGTGTCACAGGGTAACCAGGGCCTGGCCTCTGCCCCTGGAGCATTTCACAGGGAGGCACAGGCAGGAGAGAAGCTCAGTCCTCTCTCTCCCAGCTCTATGGCCCTGGCTTGGGATGGGTTTTGGGAAAAGAGCCCTTTCCTCATCCCTCCCCACCAGAACACGTCTAACTGCAGGGGACCAGAACTGAGACAGACCTCAGCCACTATTCCTGAATACATAAAGCCCCCTATTACAGCCCTGGAGGGGGTTATGGCTTGGGCAAAGGCACTGGAAAGAAAAGACACCTCCACTCATTTCTTTAAAATAGATTTCTTTAATAGTTTCCATTTAATATGATTATTTGCAGTTAGCAAATCGGCATTAATCAGGGCAGCACGAACCTCAGCAATCCACGGGGACAGTGCACACTTCAGAGGTATTTGTTAGTGCCAGGGGTCCCACCTCCCTCCCAGCCCACCTCCATGGGCCTGGTCCCTCTCACCATGAGGGTGTTGTGGCATCTGGCATGGACAGACATCCCAAAGGAACGTGGCCCCAGCTGGGATTTGCCTGTGGCCCTCTGTGCCCTGGGGCTGAGCCTTTTCCTGGAGCCCAGCTCGCTCCACCCCTGCAGGAGCTGCCAGCGGTTTCTGCCCTGTGCCCTTCTCAATCAGCCCAAAAGCAAAGCCCAGCCTGTGCTGCCAGGCCTGGGAGGACCCCAGAGATGGGGTGGGCTCAGCTCAGCTTCCCCCAGGCCCAGGGGCAAGGCCAGAGGCAGCTGGGCCCCAAACTGTCCTTAACACACAGAGGGGAGTGAGAGTGCAGGGTTACAGCAGCAATCAGTGGATGCACCCATTAACTACACTATGGAAAAGGCATCCCTTAACTTAAAAGCCTTTTAATTTGAAGCATTTATTTGAAGTGTACATCTATTACAGTTAAGAAGAAGCAAAGATACACCAAAAACACAAATACCCAAGAACAAAAAAAGTACAGATGAGAAAGAAATGAGCTGAGGGGAGGGAGGGGGTGACCTGGTGAGGAACAGAGGTGAAGCTGCCGTGGCAAGAAGCTCCCCAGGGTACCCTCACCAGAGCAGGGTGCAGCTCCCAGGGAGGGACACCAGGAGCTCCTGCAAGGCTCCAGCTTCATGCACAAGCTCAGCAGCTCTGACCACCCTGTGAGCCCACAGCAGGACACTGAGGAGTGGTAGAAGAGAAAGGAGAAGGGAGATGCTCAGAGACAGGTCCTACTCCTGGGGCTGCACCTCCTTCACTCCTCCAGCCCCAGCACAGGGAGCCTCAGGGTGGGTTTCATGCTGCTGGCAACAACGAGACAAAAGGCTGCAGCTCTGGGACATCCTCACCCCTCTGGAGCCTGGACAGAGCCGAAGTCATCTCGTCAAATAAATTAGAAAATGTTAAAAAAATTCAGATGATGCATTTCAAAACTGATTTCTTTTAGCTGTAGCTGCAAGACATGTTTCTGACTTAAATGTAGTGGCTTAAGTGTAGTGTATCTCATTCCTGGGTATTGGAATGTGTTGGAGCAACATGGTGTTGGTGAGCAGGCAGGGCACATGCAGGTTTGGCAATCGACTGCCAAAACCCCATTCCCCCTTCCCAACATATCCTACAAAGTTACTTTCAACCAGGAGTGTTTATTCCCAGCATTTAACACATTCTGATTAAAACAGATCCAGGAAAAAACGGACATCTCCAGTAAATATTGCACTTTCAAGATTAATGTGTATGTTGATATTAAGGGCTGAAAGCAGAGACTGACATAAGACTTCCAGGCATAGCAGGTTAACATCAAGAGCAATGGTCCTGAAAAGGATTTTAAAACCAGATTAGTTACCCAAGAAGGGACAAGCCGCAAGTTTAGAAAATTAGTACATTTTAATGCTAGTGCTCCGTGAAAAAGCCAACCCCTGTTGCAGTTCCACCACTGCTGAAATGTCTCTGTTCTCCAGCACTGCAAACGCCTCCGGATGGGAAGGATGTGCAGGAAGGACAGCAGGAGCAGAGGCTCTCTCCTAATGCACAGACAGATTTAGTACCAAATGATCCAAAAGGCGATGGTAAAGAGGTGACTGGAGCTGGGGCTCTCAGGAATTAAAAGCACACACACGCACACACACTCATGCTCTAACCAAGCCCAAAGCCCTGATTCCAAAGCCCGGTGGAAGAGTTAACACCTGCAGGGAGTCCTCGTGGTGGCTCTGCACGTGGCTGGTGCTGGGGTCCTGCTCAGATGGGCTCCTTGGACCTCACACTTGGAGGGCAATTGCTGTGCTTTTCAACTTGCTCGTCCTGGCAGCCCTGAGAGAGCCACCCCTCAACCGGCACATACAGAGAAGAGAACCCTCACGTCAGCAAAACCCCTTCTGCCAGCCCCGCCGGACTGGGAGAGAGGAGAAAAAAAAATAATACAGGCTGGTTTGTGCAGGTGATTATTTTTATCCCAGAACAACTGGAAGATACATCCCTGAATGTGTTGCCCAGAGAGCTGTCCGAGTCTCAGAGGTCAGAGCTGGGGGCCGGCAGGGGCGGGACGATGCTCCGCAGCTCCGAGCTGCACACACACACTACACAGCGTATCCCTGAAAATCCCCGGGCTGGGAGGGACCCTCCGAGCTGCCCATCACAAGCTGGAGGTGGCAATTACTCCTCGGAGAAGTCTCTGTCAATGTCCATGTACGCCTCGTCGATGTAGCTGACTATGGCACAGGGGGACGTCCGGTCCGGACTGAGCAGTATCGAAACAGTCTCTTTCCAGTAGGTAAAACTAATACAGGAGCTCTGTGGGCACAGACAACAGGGTCAGTGGAGGCCACAGCAGGGAACACCTCCCAAAGCTGAGAATCACTCCCTATTCAGCCTGAGCTGCCCAGCCCCACAGTGTGACCAGCACTTTGGGCTCCCCACTCTGCCCTCCCTCCCTGGGTGTTGAACAACTACACCCTCTACAACCAGCTGCCCACTCTCCAGATGAAAACAAGGACTCCCAGTGCTTGTGGCAGCTGCTAAAAGCAGCACAGGGTGACCCCAGCCTGCCTGGACCAGTACACCTATAATCCAAACTTGTCCTCTGCTGTCCAGTCCAAACACAAACTGGGACGCTGTGGTGCCGCAGGTAAGCCAGCGCTGAAGTAGCTCCTGAGAGCACAAAACCCAACACACTCCCTGCTCACACCCCTCCTGCATTATTCCCTCAAAGCCAAAAGGCCACCCCAGCAGCCCAACAGCAGACCATGTGTCACCCACATAACTGGATAGTTGGTTATTCCTACCCACCAGTGACCCAGGACAAGTCAGCTCTGGCACAGAAACCTGCAGGATGCTCCCTTGGCTTCCAGCAGCTACATCAGATTTTCTTCCTGCACTGTTTGCAACACCAGGAAGAGGGAACAGTCTGGCTAAGGTGCTAACTAACTACTCTGGGAACTGCATTCTGTCCTGCCTCCTCCTCCCTCTCAGCACTGGCTCAGGTCTCACTGCTGTGTGCCACCTCAGGCTCTGTTTCTGGGGAAGCCCAGCACCTGCCTTGTGGAAGCCTGGCTGAGGTGTGAAAAGCACCACAGAGCTACACTGGGAACTTCCTCCCTTCTCTCCCTTCCCAAGCTCCCATGTTTGCCAGGGGACTGGCAGACAGGTGTTGCCATGCTAAGAGGGTCACATACATTTTCTAAGCAGGTGCTGTCTTTGTCCTTGTTGAGGTAATGCTGCTGCCAGAACCGCAGGAGGCTGTGGAAGTTGTTCAGGATGAAGCCAGGGTATTTCTCTGTGTATTCCATCTGTTGCAAGGTGCGCAGATAAAAAGGGAGCTTTTCTTTCCTTCGGGCCAGCATTAGGATAACTAAACTTGTGTTCAAACAACTGACATTTTCCTGGAAGTAAAAATGACACAGCAAAAAAATGTAAAAGACAGCTGTTGTATACATGGTCCTATAAAACAAGCCTGTGGGAAGCCAACAGTGGAAGTGTTCCTGCACGCAAGGCAAGGAAAAAGGGACATGGGTGTCCTCCAGGGACAGGAGGCTCAGCCCTGCTCACCACTGCAGTCCCAGAAAGGCAAGTGCAGGGTCTGGCAGCTCTTTACCTGTGTAAGTGTCTGTACATGGATGATGTTGATGAGACGGAAGAGGAAGGACATTCTCATGGACATCTGGGACATGTAGGACAGGAGGCGGCACTCGGACAGGACCTCAGCCACTGCAGCAAGAGCAGAAACACAACCACCAGGTGTTACAGTGTCACAGACACATTTCATGAAAAATCCTTTCATTAGGGCTTTTTCTCCTGAGAAGCTGAGAGGCCTCAGAGGAAAAGAAAAACAATGATTATCTGCTGCTGTGGAATGCAACAGGTGCATCTGTGATTGGTCTCATGTGGTTGTTTTTAATTAATGGCCAATCCCAGTCCGGCTGTCTCAGATACTCTGGTCTATCACAAGATTTTATTATCATTTCCATTCCTTTCTATTCCTTGCTAGCCTTCTGATGAAATCCTTTCTTCTATTCTTTTAGTATAGTTTTAATATATAATTTTCTTTTAGTATAATATATATCATAAAATAATAAATCAGCCTTCTGAAACATGGAGTCAAGATTCTCATCTCTTCCCTCATCCTGGGACCCCTGTGAACAGCCCCACATTACAGTAGCTCCTTTGAGCCAGGTCTGATAAGCTCTTGGAGGTCTAGAACAAACCCAAGATAGCTCAGCTACTTTTGGAAGCATAAAAATCAGCAGGATGGCTTCTGTTGCAGTGTTGGAAACAAAAAGGTTTAATAAAAGGCAAAATAACAAACAAGAGAAAAATCAAGCTAGGTGCAGGAGGTCTTTCCTCCTGGTAAAACTCCTCACAAAAACCATTAGTTTCTTTGTTCTCTTCTTTTTCTAGTAAATTACCTACGTGGGACTTTTTGGCTTCTGTCCAATTAGCTACCCTTAAGTTTGAGGTGAAGTCCCCCAGGCCTATGAGGTGGCTTTTTCACCAAATCAAGGAGATAATTTCTGGGCTTCTTTCCTTTTTGAGGAGACAAAGGAGAGTTCTGTCACTCCATCAACAGGAGGCACACTCCTGTATCCAGGTGCTGGAGGCTCAGACACATTGATCCAACCATCAGGGCAGTAAGAACGGGTGCTCAAACTTTCCATGTGGCATTTCCTTGTCTAAGCCCCAAAGTGTCAAAGCCCAGATTTACATTAACCATGATCAGCACTGAAGAGCCCCAGTCCCACCCCACTGCTCACCTTTAGCATCAGACTGATTCTCAAAGCGGTCCAGGGACAGCGTGATGCAGCGAACCAGCATGTTTGAGTCCACCAGAGAGCTGTTGATCTGATTTAAAAAGATCTGGAACTGAACAGAGACACCTTTTAGTGTTGAATTTCAAAGATTTAAGTCTATTTATACTCAGGGTCATTACCTTTTTGGTATCTCTAACAAGGTAAGAGCAGACACTGCTCCCAGCCCTGCCTTACCCTGCCCAAGCCAACACTGGCACTGAGGGCTGACAAAAGGATCACTTAAAAACACCATGGAATAGATAAATGCCATCCTGGCACCCCTAAAATCACTTCTGAAGCTATGTCACTCCATTGAAAGTGAGATTTCATACACTAATTGTTTTGAAAGAGGGGGAATTCCTGCAGCTCCATGTTTTCCTACAGTGATTTTGTACAGTGCTATGGAGGAATACAGTGAGGGAGTCACACAAAATGAGAGCTAAACCCAGTCAGAGATCAATACACAGGAAGCACAGAGGAAATATAAAGACATTTTCTAGAATGTCTGAGTTCATTTACTAGAGAAGAACCTCCAAAATAAATGCAGCTCTTTAAAATACATTTATACATCCCTTCTCCAAAACCTACCAGACCTAACAGCAATGAGAGAAAAATTACAGCAACAAAAAAACAGTGTAAGGCCATTCAGAACCTACCCACCAGCTGATGTTAAATGTCCAAAGTGCACAAGAGCATGAAACCACTTTGTACAGAGCTGCCCACTGATGTGCAGCTCAATTTTACAGCTAATTACAAAAGCCATGGCTTCTTAAAGTGGCTCTAAATTCAAATAACATCAAATATCTACGTCTGTTTGCAGTACCAAGTATTTTAAGCCTTATTCATGAAGGAATTCCCACTGCAAGCTCCAGTGAAAGATTTTTTGGAGCTGTCTCAATGTCCACAACTATTACTTAACCACAAATCTGGCAACTGCACAGGAAATGTTCTGCTACCCTTGAGCCTGACCTCAGGCCTGCCTGATCATGAACAGGGCAATGTTTGCTGACCAGCTCAGCACTCAGTGTCTCAGCACAGCTGGAGCACTGCTGAAAACACTGAGAGGCTTTGGCAACTCAGCCCTTAATGTTTATTGTGCCCCAAGCTCTGAAACCACACCAAACCCAAATGAATGTGAGTTTTAGTGCTATGTTTGCTTACAAAAGGGTGTAATCTGAGCCAAAGGGGACAGATCTTACAAATATTTACCTTCTCATCTGTGTTGATGTATTTGTTGAACCTCTTGAATGCATCAATATTGAATTTCATCAGCTCTCCCAGAAGGTCAAAGTAACTCTGAAGCACATCCCGTGACTTGCACTCACTATCAACAATGCAGTAGAGAATATGCTGGCAGGGGAGGAAAACATGTTATTGCCACAGCTTGGTCCAAGCCAGCAGCACAACACAGACTGTGATT